TAGGATATGACCAAGAGCAATTAACTTCATTAACCATGTCTAACAAATTATAATGCAAAAGCTTCAGTCCGCGCCAATAGGTGTTGCATAAATTTCCTCATCTTGCCGTGGCTGGCAGCACGCGTTGAACTTTTGCCTTCAGATAATTATGGCTCGCGTCCAGCTCGATGCGCCTGTTGATGCATGCCTCATCTGAGTGCATTGTTTCCAGGAATTCACGGCCTTTTCCGGTAGGGCAAGAGCCGACAATCCGTGTGTTATCCTATGCGAATTTGTGACCAGTTTCTAATGTGTGCATGGCCACCAGGGATAAGCGTTCTCGTCTGTTGACCGCCAATTGATGTTCTTGAATGCGGGTTGAGGCACATTTCCAAGTTTGGCCGCAATAAACTGCATCACAATTGGCACACGGGATCTTGTAGACAACACCTTTTCTCTCAAGATAGCTAACCCTATCCTTAGGGTGAACGAGCTGTGAGCGCAAGGTGGTTGCGAGCTGGTGTGCCACTAGTATCTGGCTGCGCTACGTAGATGACACTTTTGTCATCATCAAGAAGAACCAGTTCGACATCCTCCACCAGAAGCTCAATTCTACATTCCCAGGAATTGAATTCATGAATGAAACGGAGGTTGATTGACAACTCCCATTTCTGGATGTCCTCGTACACCGACATACTGATGAATCACTCCGTAAATCAGTTTATCATAAAGAAACATATTCAGAGGTCATCCTACATTTCGAGAGAAATCGCCTAATCTCTCACAAAAGGAGTACTGTCTACAGCCTCCTAAACCGAGCTAAAACCCACTGCTCTGATGAAGAAATTTACCAGGCAGAGATGAAATACCTCTTTCAACTACTCTCCAAAAATGGATATCCAAGAAACTTCGTGCGTCAGTGCACGAAACGACAGGAATCCAAACAAAGAGGCATTTCAAATGATAATACGACCCAGGTTTTTTAAAACAATAATCTGGAGAAATCTCCCATACGTAAAAAACGTATCTGAGCTTGTTGAGAGACAACTAAGAAAATATCAGATACGAGTGGTACACCAGCCCGTAACCACCTTGCGCTCACAGCTCGTACACCCTAAGGATAGGGTTAGCTATCTTGAGAGAAAAGGTGTTGTCTACAAGATCCCGTGTGTCAGTTGTGATGCAGTTTATTGCGGCCAAACTGGGAAGTATGCCTCAAACCGCATTCACGAACATCAATTGGTGGTCAACAGACTAGAACGCTTATCCCGGGTGGCCATGTACACATTAGAAACTGGTCACAAATTCGCATAGGATAACACACGGATTGTCGGCTCTTGCCCTACCGGAAAAGGCCGTGAATTCCTGGAAACAATGCACTCAGATGAGGCATGCATCAACAGGCGCATCGAGCTGGACGCGAGCTATAATTATCTGAAGGCAAAAGTTCAACGCGTGCGGCCAGCCACTGCAAGATGAGGAAATTTATGCAACACCTATTGGCGCAGACTGTAGCCAATTGCAGTATAATTTGTTAGACATGGTTAATGAAGTTAATTGCTCTTGGTCATATCCTATAGTCCGACGACGAGCTGGGGAACCAGCCTCGAAAATTCACAAATTAAAGTTTCACTTACGACTATTAGGTATTAATTCAT